TTCTTTTTCTTTTTTCTTTCTTTCTTTTCTTTTTTTTTTTTTTTTACTTTGCCACAGGGTCTCACTAAGTTGCCAAGGCTAGCCTTGAAGTTGCAATCTTCCTGCCTCAGCCTCCTGAGTAGCTGAGATTACAGGCATTTGCTACCACAACCAGCAATAAAACTTCTTTACCTCACATCCAATGCCATCCTCCTTCCCTGCCCAACAGCCTGACCCTCCACATTTTTTAACCCAGTTACTGAACCCACCTTTGACCAGAGACCACTTCCATCCTGTTATCTACTCCACCAGGTTTCATCTATTAAGAGTAGAGGGGGTTCTGGGGTTGTAGCTCAGTGGTACAGTGCTTGCCTAGCATGTGTGAGGCACTGGGATCAATTCTCAGAACCACATGTAAAATTATTTGTAAAATAAAGGTCCATTGACAACTAAAAAACTAATTTGAAAAAAATAATTATAAAAAAGAGTAGAGGGGGCTGAGTAGTCCAAATTGAGATTCGTATACTCTGGGGAATTCATACAGATTAGGGAGTGCCTGACCTTCAGGATTTCATCTGCCCCAGCACATGTTCAAGGGGAGAAGGGAGTTGGAGACAGAAAGACTCTGTGAGCTTCCGGGAGAGCGCAGAAGGTAAAGGGGCTGTTTCCCTGACCAGCTCCTGGCTGCTGAGGCTGTAGCACCAGGAGTTGCAGGAAGAAGTAGGGTGGGTGATTTTTCCTTTGCCAGTGTGAGTCACACAAACACAAACCCAACAATGTCAGGCTCTAGGTGACAAAGGGAGCAGAGACATCTTTGCAGAGTATATACCAGGTTCCAGCATCTTTCTGGAGCCTCCTCCCTAAATTCACAAACATGAAAATCAAGTCTTAACACTTGACTTCCTTGGCACGGACCCGTACTCTAGGAAGGTTATGGGTGAGGTCTCACCGCAAAGCCCTTTGGCCTGCGGTCACCAACCAGGAAGCAAAGCAGAAGACTGCAAATGGGGTGGGGCTCTGAAAACACAGGTGAGATACCTTCAGGGGACCTATCACCGAGCACACACGGAAGAGACTTATTACACATCTGACATAACCACTTGGTTATGTCAACCAGTGGAATCTGCACGTTCTCTGTTAAACTGACTTCATCTGAACTCTCATGCTGGCAGAGTCTGAGGATGTTTGTTGGATCCATCTCCTACTTTTCATCCCTACTATAGCTCTAGTTCAAGTACTTTTTCTCTGCCTCCTGACCACTTCCTTTCAAAACATTTTTACAGATTGCTATCAAAGTAAACTTGCAAAAATATAACTTCACCGGTGTCCTGGGCTAGCTCATACAGGCTCCTGAGAAATGAATTCTCAGAAATCCAGGAACTGAATTTCAGTCAATTGTTAAACATCAATGATGAAAACTTTAATGAGGTAAATTGTATTAAGCTCGAAGGTAATAAATACTCAACATGTATCACTTCTTTATTACTTTACTACATTCTATCAATACCTGTGCTCTTCGAGGTTACTTGGTTCAATTTTATCTGTTTTTGTTTGTTTGTTGACCGTACTGGAGATTGAATCCAGGGCTTGGCACATGCTAGGCAAGTGCTCTGCCAACAAGCTACATTCCATTTTATCTGTATGGAAATGCTGTATAATGTTCCCCTGCCTGTCTTTTCCCAATTTCCCACAACTTGATATTGGTCATGATGGGAGAATTTTCACATGGAAATTGACCAACACTACACATTACAGAATGCTATTTGTTTTGTTGATTATCTAGGTATAAAAGTGATGGGTGAAACGTTAATAGAATGTTGCCAAGTGCATTAGCACACACCCATAATCCCAGCTACTCAGGAGGCTGAGGCAGGAGGATCACAAATCCAAGAACAGCCTGGGCAGCTCAGCAAGACCTTGTCTCAAAAAGTTTCTTTTTACAAAGGTAAGGTGGAAGGTTATGGGTATAGTTTAGTGGTAGAGCATCCTTGGGTTCAATTCCAAAAAAAAAAAAAAATGTGGTGCTTGTAGTAGCTACATTGTGAATAAACAAAGTCTTGAGGAAATATTCTTCTAGTAAATACTAATTTGATTCACAAAGATATTGACTGAACCTGGGAAGCTCTGGGACAGGCCTTTGGTGTTTGCTTTCATCTTCCTCAGTACTGGAAAGGAAACATCAGCTCCCCCTTCCATCAATTATTAACCACAGGTTGACTGTGCATACATGAATTCAGCAAAGACCAACAGAAAACCTGTAGACTCAATTGGCCATATGGACTTTATAACAAAGGGTATTGTATTTTTTTATCATTATTTGTAGATTGGTCACTACACATCCTTTGTATCAGTGAAGCTTATAACAGACAGATGTATACCTATACACACACTCATTTCTCTGGGAAGCTGATTGTAAAGTATTTACCACTATATGACTGTGATAAGATCTTCCTTTTTAAAAATCTCTCAATGGTCCCCTGCATTGGCCTCCTCTATGCACAATTTCAAAACCTCTCAGACTCACTCCCGTTCCTACCATTGCTGTGACCACCAGTTCCATGGAAAATCCAACCAGTGTCAAACACATGGCTATGGTTTGAATCTGGAATGTCTCCCAAAGGTTCATGTGTTGAAGGCTTTGTCCCCAGTGCAGCAATGTCCAGAGGTGGGGCTTTTGAAGAGTGATGGGATCATGAGAGCTCTGACCTCATCTGTGGATTAATCCACTCATGGATTAATGATCTGGCGGCATCATGGGAAGGTGGTGGGGCCCACTGGGAGGAAGTAGGTCACTGAGGACATGCCAGGGAAGGGCATTTTTTTGTCCCTGGCCCCTTCTACATGTCTTTTTCCTCCCCCTCCCCCTCTGCTTCCTGGATACCATGAGCTGAGCAGATTTCCTCCACCACCCCTCCTGCCACGATGTTCTACCTCACCTCAGGCTCAGAGTAATGGAGCTAGCCGACCATGGGCTGAAACCACTGAAGCTGTAAGCCACAGTAAATCTTTCCTCCTTTAAGTTGTTCATGTCAGGAATTTTGATCACAACAAAAAAGAGGTGACTAACACGAGTGTAGCCTGCAGGGCCTCCCTCCACCAGATATATGCCACTTCATCCGTCACTACATGGAATCCCCCAGGCAGTCACACATAAACCACCCAGAATTAGGGCCACCTTAAATCAAAGAGAGATGAGAAATATGGTATAAAACTTTCTCCCTTTTCTTTCCAGGTGAACAGAAGTGAGCTGAGATGCATTCCATAAAGCTTCTCAGAAGACACCTTAGAATCAAGCAGCCAGCTGCCTACAGCAATGGCCCCCTCAGTAACACCTCCTCCTACTGTCTCTGCCTTTGTCCCCACTCTCCCTGGTCCTTCACTCCTATCCCTGGACACTCCTGTTCCTTATTCCCATAGAGCAGAAACAAGCTACTTATCCCAACAGAAATGGTCCTTTGAACAAGGCCTCGACCTCCCTGTCCTGCTTCATTTCCTAGCCTGTCACACTTAGTCACAAAGAACACACAAACTCAGCTCTGATGCCTCATTCATGCCATTTCCTTTGCTTGGAATCATGCCCCAAAGGTCATCTGGAAGGTTATACAAATCTGTAGTTATCTACACCCTCAGTGTTACAAAGGAGGAAGTTGAGGCCCAGGGTAGAAAGGCCTGGCCCAAGGTTACCATGGCTAGTTTAGGACAGAGCTCAACAATACCCATTCTCATCCTCAGAGTCCACTGAATTAAACATGCTTCCTCTTTCTACCTCCCAAGACGCACAGAGGTCTGTTTCCCTTTCAACTAGGACTCTTTATTGCCTGAGACATGTTGTTTCTTCCTAAAAAACAGACAGTAACTTACTTTTACTCAGTGATTTAATCTAATTCCTCAAACAGTGTGGGCCACTTTTTATAACTATTTATGATGAGGGCAGCGAGGAGGACAACCATGAATAAGACGTGTTCCTTACTTGAAAGATGTTTGTAGGGACTGGGGGTGCAGCCTAGCATGTGCAAGGCCCGGTGTTCAACTCCCAGCATAAAAAAAAAATCAACAGAATTTACAATCCAGGGGGCAAGAGAGGGTTGGGTACAAATGTATCAATATGATTATTATAATGTAAGAAACAGCCAAAGAGATCCTTAAAATATCAGCTATACTTATGTATACTTACATAAAATACAACATAGAACACTTTATCCCCGAAATATTGACATTCATGATATATAACGTGGGAGTCTGACCAACTCAACATGCTAAGAAAACTATAAGCAAGTGAAGATAAGAACGAAAAGAAAGCTGTTTGCAGATGTCAATATTTCAGTGCTAATGATTAACATGAAAACAACCAATCAAATAAACAAGTGTCTGGTATATATAAGCTGCCTGTTCTTTGCTCAATTATATTCTATAATATTTCAGACAACCAACAACATTTACATTATTGATTACAATCATACAGAAAGAAACCCTTAAGTGTACCTAATCCAGTTTCCCTCCTAAAGAAGCCAAAGTCTCAGGAGGTTCACTTTCCTAACCAACAGTTTCCTCTGAGGGATCCAGTCATGGCCATCAATCTTCCCTAGCAATTCTGACTTTGAGTCCTCATTGTACCTTATCCCCTACCTCAACCTCCTCCCCAGGAACAAATCAGCTACCAAATCTGTGTCTTCTGCTGCAGATCCATCATCACAGGGCTGCATCCACTCCACCCTCATGCTCTTCTTCAGCTACTTCTTATATCTGAATTGGGCTACCCCAATAATTCCTAACTGGCTCTGCTGAAATCCCTCTTTCTCTTCCCAAGCCATCCGTCACAATGCCAGAGCTGCCTTTCATAAGCCTAGCTCTGATCAGGCTGTTCTTTTGTTGCCCAAGTCCCAACTCCAAGTTCTCTTATTCTCATTTCCTTCTGTTTCTTGTTGCTCCTTCCCCTCCCTCGGCCCCCCACTCCACCTGTGCTAATACCTGCTCTGCACTCTCTTTGCCAGCAGGAGACTGTCATCCCCCAGATGCCCTACCTGTCAAGGCTTAATCCACTCTTTGAGACCCTGCTTAAATTTTGTCTCTTCCGTGAAGTCTTCTCAGTTGTTGCAACATCTCTCCTGCACACCCTGCTTCCCACTGTGTGTTACTTGTACTTATTTCACAGCTTTTAGTCTTTGAATTGTGGTTACTGATGTGTCAGCTAAGCCATTAGGGTCAATGGTTCTCAAACTGTAGTCCTCAAACCAGCTACATCAGCAGCATCTGGAAACTTGTTAGAAATGCACATTCTCTGCCCATCCCAGACCTACTGAATCAGGCACTCCAGGGTGAAGCCCAGCGGTCTGTGTTCTGATGAGCCCTCCAGGGGATTTGGGTGAACAGTGGAGTGTGAGAATCACTTCACCAGACTGTAAATCCCCAGGGTAGTGGCCAGGACCAAGCTTAACTCATCTCCAGCTTTGGAGGCAGGGCCTGAAATAGACAAGAGTGCCAGACACAAACTGCCTGAGGTCACACAAAGTTGGTCTGGGATCCAAAATCCTGGAACTCTGGCTATCCTGATGACCAATCTAGGGTTTTTTCTAGCATGTCCACAGTTTCTAATAGTGAATTTGAACCATCTGAATATATGCCTAAACACTGTAGTGGAGTAAAAAAATGTATCCAAATTATGAGATAATGATAGACTATATAATTAACAGATCAGATCATTTCCAATCAGTGACTTCAAAAGGATGAATTAATTGAGTTGTTCAGGAAAGCACACTTAGGCCCTTCCTGTTGGAAACTAGAGATAATCAGCCACCGAACTTCTCACAGCGTTCACTATAACAAAGAAATAAATTTTTATGTTCCCAGAATGGTTTCAGAGGCAAACCCACAAGGTCATCTTTTTTAAAAAATACAATATTATAGATATCTTTTTTGAGTGCATATTTTATACTAATCAGCTTTTGGCTAAAATATATGCAAATATCACACTAATGAGGAAAAGATGGCAGGTGCTAATATAAATAAGGTTTTTTAGTTTCTCATTTATCTGGGGCTGCCAATGTAAAACTGACTGACATTTGGCTAAATTCCTTGAGGGTTTATTCTTTTTCTTTTAATTCTTAGAATTTTTTAAAGGCTTAGTAATTGCCATTTTCCCTTATAAGTTTCATGATGGCTGTCATGTGAGAATAATTTTCAAACCCATTTTCCATTTTTCCATGACTTATTTGTAAAACGACAGATAAATATAATTACCAATGACCCTTAAAAGGTGAAACCTAAAGAAACTTTGAAGGGAAGGAAAAGTCCCTGGTTTTTGAGTTCAAGCTACTGAATCCAGGGAACATTCACAAATACTTAAGTAAGACCGTCCTATTATCAGCAAAGGTGAGAAAGTGAACTGGACAAAATCAAAGTAGACAGATTCAAATGCTGTGGGATACAATACAGAACTCAATGACAAGGAAGTGCCCAGTAAATGGCAGTCACTTAAATATCCTCTATTAAGAGTGACTCTGAACCCAATTTTGTAGCATTAAGTAATGGTGGGTCTACTATGTGAAGAAAACCAAGCCTCTGTTTTGGGCAACAATCTCTTCCAAACTGTTCCTGTCAAGTGAACAGGATCCAGGGTGGCTGAAGAGTCCAGGGGTCAATTCAGGGCCTAAAGACCCCAGCAGGAGAGAGACTTTCCTGCTGGGACTGTGATATCTATCTTGCTCCATATCAGCTCTGAGCATTGTGGCCAGAGGGACCACAAGGCCAAATAATAACCAGGTTTTATTTGAAACAAAACCTCTCTCCTTGTCTGGATTCAGCTTAGTTTTAAATGACAAAGAAGTGAAAATATATACATCATCTCTAGTCATTTCTACTGGATAAAAATATGGTCATTTTGAATTGTGGATAATTTTCAGATTCCCTGAGGAAATGAGATGATAAGGAAACCTTTGCTGTATAGAAGTCATCATATTAAGAGCATAATGACTTGGTGAATAAACAAATAAATAGAGAAATAAATTCTGGATGCAATCAAAAGAAAGTGTCAGTATGAGTACAAGTTTGACTTGAGAAAGATGAATAAAGGGAGAATTCAATTTTCACTCTGGTGTATTTTAAATTAATGCTAATTACAGTCAAAGGTGTAAAGTGCTTGTCCTTTATGCTTAATTTATGCTCAATTGCCATGCAATACAGTAATGACATCTCAGCATGTTCCAAATTAACACCATTTTGTTGTTGTTTTGGTTTGGGGGATTGAACTTCATGACCAAGCCCTGTCTCTACTGCTGAGCTACACTGAGTGCTCGGTATTATTTATTTGACTGCAACAGAAAACTCTTCAAGCCTGTTCGAGCAGGACCCAAGACCCAGCTCTGGGCATATTATCTGATCCTACTAAGAGCAGACCCATACATAGGCCCAAGTGACCATTTATGGGGTCAGCCATGCTGGGATGGGCTTTGCATTTTTATAGGAAGACTGAGTCTTCAGTGGGGCATCATAGCAGGAGGGCTGCCTGGGTAACCCATCACACACTAGGTGACAAAACAACATTGGATTTAGAGGCATATTTCTGGCCTATTCGGCCAAGTCATCTGGTCTTTGAATGTAACTGTCATCCTACAACTCATAAAAATACGGCTCTGCCTGCAACTAAAACCATTCTCCAAAGGGTTTCTGGCACATAAACAAGAATGTCCAAGAACACTAGATCTTAGAACAAAATTAATGAAACATAAAAGAAAATTTATAAGGGAATAAAATAGTTGTAGGATGTTTGCCCTCTATGTTAAGCCAGGTCAATAAACACATCAGGACCTATGTGTTATATTTTTAAATGCTTTAAAAAGAGGTGAAATAAAAGTTTACATACAGATCATTGAATTGTGTTCTTTAGTAGAGAAAAAAAAAATTTCACAAAAGAAATTTACTTAAGAAACAGAAAGCATGGAAGGCCAACTTCGGTGCTCCTATAACAAGTCTACCATTCTTCTAGCAGTAAAAATAAGCAGAGTACATTAAACAGCATTTTCAAAGTTTCATTTTTTTTTTTAATTTTAGTCCTGGAGATTAAACCCAAGGCTTCCCACAGGCTAGGGAAGGGCTCTGCCACAGAGATGCACGCCCATCCCCAAAGATCCTATCTTATTTGAGGAAAATCTGAACAAGAAAAAAAAAAACAAAAAAAACATGGCCCAAATGATTCTTAAACCTCGAATGTTATCAAACTTCCTTGGAGATTCAATAAACCAGATGACTATAAATCTCTCTATTGGTGATCTCAGCAATAATTTCAAGTAGAGAATAAAAACATATATGCAACAAGGGGAAGTCATGCCTTCTGGTCTCTACTCCTCCAGAAAGCAACTTAAATACCCATATGTTTAATGACCACTGCAAAAAAATAATTAAAAAGATAAAGTATAAATAGTCTAAGTGCTCATGTTCTTTTATTGCCTCCAATGAACAAATAAATAGGATACTTAAAGTAAAAAAGGAGGAGATATAAAAACACGGAACAAGTCTTTTGTAACATTTGTAAACAGCAGAATTTTTGTTCAAATGAAAAGCCAAAGATAAAAAGATAGTCCTGGATTATAACCCGAAGAACACGATAAGTATCCATGAGTCCATCTGGTATGAACAAATAAGGATGAAGAGACAAATTTTCCATGCAGAAGAATTCCAGATAATTTCTGGAGGTGCTACCCTAGCTAGGAGATAGAGAATAACTCACCATTTTAAAAGAGTGCAGTGTTTATAACAGGGAAAAGTAACTTCACAAGACAGAGTTTGTAATACTCTACCTCATCGATCAAGGTCAGCATCACCAGAGACAATGCATGCTGATCATCGTGTGTACTCCTGATGATATGATGAGAATGGTATTTTACCTCTGTGGTTTTCCTCCCCAAACCCATAAACCCAGTCTAATCATGAAAAAACATCATAAAATTCCAACTGAGGGACATTCTACAAAGTACCTAACTGGTACCCTTCAAACTATCAAGGTCATCAAAAGCAAGGGAAGTTAGAGAAACCACTACAACCAACAGGAGCCCAAAAGAACCTAACTACTAAATGCAAGGTGGTATCCTGGGAAGAATACAGGAATACAAAAAGGACATTTGGGAAAGACTAAGGAATTCTGAGTAAAGTATGGATTTTAGTAAATAATGAATCAATACTGGCTCATGAACTGTAACAAGTGTACCACGCACCAAAATAAGATGTTAGTAATAGAGGGAACCATGTGCTCACTGGGAACTTTATTAGCTTTGAAACTTTTCTGTAACTTTAAAACAAACAGAAAATTTTATTCTTTAATTTATTTATTTGGTGCCAGGGATTGAACCCAAGGGCACTTAACCACTGAGTCATATCCCTGACCCATTTTTACCTTTTGTTTTGAGTCAGAGTCTCACTAGGAGTCTCTCTCTGGCCTCTTTTATGAGGGCTCTAAACCCATTCATGAGACAGAGACACCATGACTTAATCACCCCTCAAAGGTCCCACCTCTGACACCATCATATTGGGGATGAGGATTTCAACATAGGAATTTTAGGGGGACATAAATATTGAGACCATAGCATAGCCCCTGACAGAGCAATTTGAAAATCAGTATCAAGGAAAACTGAACCAACCATTATTACAAAATGCCAGTCCTTGCTGTTGGCCTGGCAGGATTCTGCCGCACAATTCAGTCCTGTTTCAGATGACTGCATTACATCATAAGCTCTGTGCAGCTGGAACCACATCTTAGACTCTCTATCACATGCTGAGCACTCTGCTGGCACCAGAAAACTCTGTGCTTGATAGATTCTCCAACACCAGCAGGAGCAGGAACTATTGCAAATATAGGGTGAAGGCTTCCACCACCAACCTATTGACCTTCCTGACAACAGATCTGCAGAAATCGCTTCATCATCAATCAAGCCTATCCTCCATGTCCTGGCGCCATCAGACAGAGCAAACATCTCCAAAACAGTTTTGGCCTTTTGGTATCTCACAGAGGGATGCATGCCCTCTGGCCCCTACCACCCCACCCAAAACTACTCTTGGTAGAATTCAAAAAAGGAAGTTAGTAAGTTTCCTAAAATTGACCACATTTATCTTACATTACTTCCATGTTTAGTTGGCCCATTCTACCACAGATTACTCACCCACAAGACAACCAGGTGCAGCTAAAACAAGTGGTTCGCAAGCTCGCTGAAAATGAAAGGTGATCGTCACCTGGAAAGCTACAGATTTTATTTCTCGTCAGTTGATAGCAGTACTTGTTCCAAGTGGGGGTGGTAACTTGGCGATGAATCACTGGCATGCAATATCTGTGGAGCCAGAGAAGAGCCATTAGAAAAACAGATGAGTGGCTTAGGGGCCCAGGGTTCACACACCAGCATCAAATGCATATAACAATTTGGAGAAGCATTCATATAAAGGGCAGTTACTGAGCACCTGCGATCTATCAGACACACCCCTGTGCTCAGTGAGCTCACATTCTTGTGTAGAAAACACAGCAAACAAGAAATACGACAGGAAGAATTTCCAATGGTGGCAAGTGCTGGAGTGGAAATAATCCAAGGTAAAAGGCTAGACTAGCACAGGATGAGGCAATGGGCA